ACCGAAGCAGCAGAAGGGCCGGAAGCCGTGACGGCAGAGGGCCAAGAGCGGACCGAAGCAGCAGAAGTGCTCGCACTACCTGCAGCAGCGGAAGCGGAAGTTCAGCCGGCGCAGGGAGACAGGGAAGGGCATGAGACATTGCCTGATCCTTGGTGGCTTAGGCTGCATATGGAAATACAGCGTAGCCTGTGCTGTTTCAGCAGGGTCAGGGTGTGATGCATGTTTTGCCACATCCCGGCCATGAGATGCTGAATTGCTGCGTTGCTTCATGGATCCAGGAGACAAAGTGCCTGGATCCTGGAGTGCTCGATTTAAATCTTCTTGCAAATGCAAGTGCGAAAACGAAGCTGTCGGCTGCTTGAGGCCCCAGGTGACGATGTGTGTGCTTAACATGAAAGATCATCAGGAAGAAAGAAAGAACAGCAAGTCAACTGAATGGCCAAGCAACGATGGAATGATGGTAGGAAAGTGAGAAAGGTGAAGGTTCGCTTAATTCAGGTCGATACAACGCCACACTGTACCGCATGGGGACGTCTTCTATGCCAAGAGACCTCGCCTTGCTTTGCCCGTGCAAACTAGGCTAGCAGGCGAGCATCCCGAGTTTAGGATTCTGCACAGCTCTTCTGTGTATGCAGATGAAGGCTCGTCGAGAATGGTTTGGAGCCCGATGCTCGCAATGCTGCTTCCCCTGCAAAGTTGGTGCATGTCGCACTGGGCATGGGGTCAGGTTGTGTATCGTACCAATCTTGCACACGCAAGCATGCGGCATGCGGCAGTACCTTCTGATACGACAAGAGGTGTTTTTAATATAGCGGCCACTGAAGCCCCTGGCATCTTTTCGGGCTTTCCCTAATCCAGCCGACAGTTTCGGCTGCGTTGTGATATCTTGCAAGGATAGCGAGCGAACGGCCTTGCATCTGGCTGCCGCATCTGGCCAGGTGAGGACTCCCCGAACACGGATGCGCAAACACAAGACGCAAGAGCATGTCTATGCTCGTGGAGACATGTCGGAAACCTTCTTCAATCATGTAAAGACCTACTCAAGTTCGACTTGAGGCTAGCGAGCCGGCTGATATTCCTTTGCAGGTCTCTGCTTGCGAAGCCTTGCTACAGGCGGCCAAGGTTCGTGCTCGCAGCGCTTGTGAGTGTTTGCAGACGGTCGGGTCCCATATGAAGAATGTGATTCTACTGGAGGAGCCACAAGAGCTCTTGCAAGCACAAGATTGGGAGGGAGCAACGGCAGCACATATGGCCGTCCGAGGCGCACGGTGCCGCGCCGTGCCCTGCACCCGACAATGCCCCGAGTCCTTTGCTTTTTGACCTCTGACCGTCCCAGCTGCTCCGAGCTGCGGCAGGCGGTCACGCTTCCGTCTGCAGACTCCTCGGAGCGCAGCGAGCCGACCTCCAGGCCTCGTGTAAAAGTGCTAGTGAGGGCTCAAGGGATAGGGTATTCATACCCAGGAGAGCGCTTCCCCAACATGGAAGACAAGGGTTATGTTATGAGATAAAGCAGGGTCTCTCTGGCACGTCTGTTTTGGAAGTGGTCCACTTGACCAATCATACACTTGAGCGTGTTGGCCCGGATCCCTTGTCGCATAGTGCTGCTTAGGCCGACTTGGACTTCGGCGTCACGCCCTTGCAGAGCCTTTGGTAGCAATAGACCGTCTGCTGCTGTCGCGACCAGTCAGTTGGCCACCAACTTCGTACATTCTGCGATGATGTAGTTCCTCCTACTACTGCTGCCGCTGCTGCTGCTACAAATGATAGTGATAGTAGCCACAATAATAGACTACCGATGCTGCTGCTACTACTGCCACTACTTACTACTGCAGCTGTTGCTACTACCACAACAACAACAACTACAAGTACTACTACTACTACTACTACTACTACTACTACTACTACTGCTGCTACTACTACTTACTACTACTACTACTACTACTACTACTACTACTACTACTACTAGTACTAGTACTAGTACTGGTACTATTACTACCACTACTACTACTACTACTACTACTACTACTACTACTCCTATTCAGACTCCTACTCGTACTACTACTGCTACTGCTACTGCTGCTACAACTATTACTGCTACTATTACTACGTACTACTATTGCTACTACTACTACTACTACTACCACCACCACCACCACCACCACAACTACTACTACCGGTGCTACTCGGGCCAGCGGACAGTAGTCCAACAAGGTAGGAGGCAAGACCACGGCCTATCATCTACAATAACAACTTACCGCTTCCACCTTCCTACTTACTACTTACCGTAAGCACAGGCAATGCGACGACGACATAATGGTTGATGATTGCGAATATGCCGCTGTCTATTCTACATATGCTTCTTTGTAAATATATGTCCATTTGTTGTTATCGTTGCTCATTCTCAGTGCTGTGACAATTGCATGTACTTGACACTGCACTGCACACTTAACTTAGTTGCGTTCTTGTCTTGCATGATTCGTCCTCCGCCGGGTTGTGGCGCGGCAGTTGCGACTGGCCGTGTTGCTGCTTTTGGTTTTGCTGCGGGCGTCCCATACTTCCCCGATTGAATTGCACATAGGATCGCCGCCGAAGCAGGACATCAGGAGGTGCTGCAGCAACTCGGCATTTCAAGCAGCCGCAGAGTGTCCGGAGTGTAAAGTAGCGCCAACCATCCTGGAATAGGCCTAAAACTCACAGAAGTTCAAGCTTGTGGAGCCTTGCAGGAGCACTCGGAGTTGGAACAGAGACATTTGGTAACATATGATGCCAGAAGAATTCCGATTGTCCGAGTGCGTGGCAAAGCACCGGAATCGAGGCTGCTGCTGGAAGACATGGCAGGGGATGCGCATCCGGATGTCCCTTGCCTCGAACTGAATTGTTATCCACTCACCTACTGTTACCTTGTAGTCCAGCAAGCCTGCTCACAATTCAACAGGGAGTCCAGAGCTTGCCCAAAACACTTTCCCAACTGGGCTCCACAACAAGAATCCACCCCCGAAGATCTCAGCTCCCCCGGCTCTCGTAGCCAAAGCAAGGCCTTGCACACGGCCTTGACGAAGGGCCGAATCTCTGACGGCAGAACTCCCTGGCTGCTTGCAGCAGCCGAAGGCCACGTCGCAGGCTGCGAGAGTTTGTGGTCCGCCTCCAAGGCCCGAAGGGGTCGAGCCTTGTGTGCCTTGTGTTGTATGGCATAGCCAATGAGATGATGTAGGCACGGCCGGGTTTGGACAGGCTTGCCACAGCTTGGACCTGCCGTCCTCCCGCGATCGCGATGGCCGAACGGCCGCTTGCCTCTGCATATTCTGTAGGCGTCCAGAACTGGTTCTTGATCGAAGGATGCTCGTGTTTGATTCCCGAGGCAATGATCCTAGCTGCTAAAGGCGGCCATCTCGGCGTGCTGAGCCTAAAATCTGGAGACGAAACAAACCACGAGCAATAGATCATGAGGGGGGGCGCCGTGGCATCGTACGTTCAGGAGGAGGCATCCGTTGATTCCCAGTCTCGCTGAACACAGTCCAAGGTGTGTGTCTGGCTCATGCAGTCCGGTTGTTCTCCTGACGATGCTCGACTGCAACTCGAGCTTAGTTGAAGCTAGGCCTAGCACAGTGCTTAATTATAATTAGGTTTGGACATGTGGAAGCATGTCGTGGGCGCTTTGTCACATTCTCGGGTCCACTTGCGACAGCAGGGACTCCGCGAGCGGGATGCCTGCAGCTGGACGCCGCTTCATGCTGCCAGCGCCGAGGGCCAGAAGCCGGTCGTGGAGTGGCTCCTGGAGCAAGGTTGGACCATATTGCACTTGTGTAGCGAAGCATCTGACTTAAGCGGCGGACAGGAGTTTTCGACAGCAGCTTTGCCGCTGCCCATGTTTTTGCATGTCACGTTGTGCCAGAGCACTTAAAGACCCAGAATGGTCACTCTAGTAGCACGTGGTTGCGCTGATGACCCTGAACCAGTCGATGGCAGGAGCCGACCTGCGTGCTGTGGACGAAGATGGCCGGACAGCGCGCGAATGGGCAGAGCTACGGCAGCAGGGTGCAACCGAATCCGTGTTGCGCAGAGCTGAAAAGGCTTTGGCGACAACATAGGACAGATAAGCAATGATGAGCACGTGCATGCCTGTTTCACCCACCATTGTCGATAACATTGACTGGTGCGTCGAAGAAAGCTGATCAGCGAGCAGCTAGCTGCCTAGCTGCATCCTGAAGTTCCTTCACGGAGCGCTGAACAGGCGGCGACATTCTGGTATTTGGTGGCTGCTCTGGAGCTGCTCCTGCACACAGCTGCTGAGATTTATACCATGGTCAGAGTGATGCGCTTCCATTGAAGCACCTCGTGCATGACCCAAAGAAGCGGAGGAGCTAGGACGGAGGCAAATCCGCTTCGACAGTTGTTTTGACTCAGACAGCTCTGGCCTTGACCCTGGAAGCTTCCGAGGCTTCGACCCTGGAGCTCTATTCAGGCGCTGTCGGACTTCTTTCGGAGGGGACCGGGAAGACGATAGTCGGAAGCACGGCCTAGCACAGCCTGCCGTGCCCGTCTGCCCAAACGAGCCCTGTGGCGTTCGGCCCCGCGAGCTCAGATGCTGAGGAAGGACGAAGCAGGAGCGAGGCGAGTGAGGAAGCTACAGTGACAACACGGCTTCACGCAACTCAGCACGTTGAGGACAAGTCACTCTGCGCGGTAGTAGCACGGACGTTTGAAGAACACTTGGGGCCACGACTGCAACTTCATGGACGCGTGAAGCTCTCGTGAAAAGTGGACTTATCCGTCAAAGCAGACTGATGACCGATAAGGTTTCCGGACTGTCAAGGAATGCAAGCAAAGCCTTTGCGTCACCTGACTTGTTCATGTAGTGTGTAGAAAATGCCAGCCGTCCAACGAACCAGAAAGCTGGCCGAGAAGATGTCCATGCCTGACATATTGAACAAAGTCGCTGCTAGGCAAGTCGAAGAGCTGCCTTACAAAGAACATTCTTAGTTAAAGCAGATGCTGTATACTGCCAAGCAGATTTCTCCGTGCTGCGGCATTCAGGAAGAAACTTTTCGCACCGAGACGGACCATCGCAACTCCTTATTACAGGGAACGCAGAAACTGCTGAAGCTCCGTTGCTGTGAGCTTGCGCCCTCCCGACGCACTGTCCAGAACGGTCTTGAATACACTGCTGCAAAACTTCGCATTGTCAGCACACCATAGCCATAGATGCCATAGAGCCAAGAGTTAACGGCAGGTTTACACTTGTATCAAGGCTCGCTACAGGATAGGATGGTTGGGCGACACTGTGACTGTCGCGAGGCTCCGTTTCTTTCAAGTGCGAGGGCCCCACGCCGGAGAGTCCCATCGAGGTGACAGCACCCGTCCAATACAGCTTGCTGGAGGTGGGCACGGGCTGTCGTTTGGGAAAGCTGAATGCTTTGGCATGTTTGATTGTGTGCCTTTCCTTGTAGGTCGTTCTGCTTTCGTGCCAGGTGGCGGGACAAGCGTTCACGCTGCTTCTCCTGTGCCGCTGTCCTACGATCATCACGAAGAGATTCGTGACATGATGTGCATCAAACTCATAATAAATAAGAACGGCAAGAACACTTTCATCATGCACAGCCTCCGCCGCCTTTTGCTTCGAGGTTGCACTTAAGCAAGTATACAGGGCGTACAGGCATGGCATCCGATAGCATCCTAGGGCCATCTTCCATCGCTGACGATCGCAAGGGAGTATTGAGGGTTAGTCGGCGATCAGATATGGCTGCTGCCTGATGCCATGGTGGGTTCACACTCCGGGCCCTTGGGCGACGTGCCGGGCCTGAGATGGGACGAAAAGCGGCAGCGCTATTTCAACGTGAATCGCACCAATGCTGAGACGGAGGCTTCCTCTGCAGGCCCTGCGGTTCGACGACACACCGTCCGGGAGGAGCCTCCGATTCAGGAGCTGCCCGTAGATGATGCGGTGATGGCGACCTTGCGTGAAGTAGACTTCAAACGGAAACGTCGGCGTGGAGCCAATGCGAGAGACATGCAGCCAAGCGAGTGCTCCATATGCCTTGAAGCACTGCAACATGGTGAACGCATCCTGGAGCTTCCAAGCTGCAAGCACGTTTTCCATAAGCGCTGCCTGACGCCATGGATGAAGCAAAGAGGGAGCTGTCCCAGCTGCCGGGCTCCGGTTGACGTCGCATTTCAGACTGCCCAGGCTGCGGCGATTGCCGACACCAAACAAGGCCTCCACTAATTTCTTGCCTGCACCTGCTTGCGCTTGTCCTGGAGATGGATCGGTGCACCTGTTTCAGGCCACGGGCGTCTCAATTTGACGAGTCCAAGCAATCTCCGAAAGGTCTGCGGACTGGTCTTCAACGTACAACGGAGCCGAAGCTCTTGCGCAGGGCTGGCCAGCCGGTGCCGTAGCAGGTGGTCGCGCTTGACAAGGACTTCAGGCAGCAGGACGAGGCGAAGGTTGAAAAAGTGGGATTATTCACAGCGTCCGCTGCATGTTGGTGTATCCGATTCTGTACCCTGTCTGTACCCTTTCATTCGCAGGTAGAAACGTCACTTAGTCCGTACTTGGATCGAAAGGTGTCGTCGGGCGGCCTGTACACAGTTTCCATAGAGAGGGCACGTGCACACGACTCCTAATACTGGCTGGCATCTGTCTCTGCATGACACATGCGCAAGCTTTCGTAAGATGATGTGCGTGTTATGAAGCTTTGGCATTTGGCAGGAGTCTGAGTCAGCATGCTCAGCATGACACGGTCAAGGAGCAAAGTTGATCTACGGTAATTGCTCCTGATGGTTGGAAATCCAGCATCGCTTGCAACATGTTGCCGAGGCGCGTCGCTTTGGCTGAACTCACGTGCTGAATGGCGGACTTGCTGCAGCTGTGATGCGTCTCGTATGCAGTGGCGCAGGTGCATTGATCCGTGCAGGTTCCAAGCTTCGGCAGACTTGATGGTTGCCGGTCGACTTGATTCCTAAGATCAGAATCAGGCACAGTCTCTCCGCGATGCCTTCGGTGAGAGCCGCCTTTGCCGGCCATTGATTTGCCCGCGGAGCAAGCACCTGGGCTTTTTTCCAACCCGCCTAAACCTCACCTTGGAACTAGAACTGCCTTCATGTTCACCAATCACGCATTGATGGAGTGAGTGCGGATTGCAAGGCACCCGATGCTTTCCCAAGTCGCTTGGTTGCATCGACCCAAGAATCGAAGAACGCGGCCGAAACCAGACTTTGTTTTGACATCTGGATGTGCAAGCCCCGACGCAAATATTTCAGTTGCGGCCCTCGCACCTTCCTGCACTGTGCAAACAAGGTGGGGCATGCCTCTGAGCTGAGCAGCTGAGGTTTATGGCAAAGAGTTGCTGCTCATTTGCTCGCCGTCAGGTAGGGGCTTCATTGGATTCAAGTTTACACAGGACCAGTGGTTGAATATTGTGTCGTGTGTGGGAGGACTGGAACTCGGTAGGTTTCGGAAATCTGCTCCATGTGTTCTGCCATGGATGTGCAGGTGAGCGACCTTTGACTGACCCAGATCGGTGGGGCCAGGACGGGCCAGCATCTGCATGTGCGCATGTTGAGGCGACTCGCCGAAGCTCTTGCGGGTCCCACGTGCACGAGCGCAGAAGCAGAAATTGCACGTCGAGATGCTTTCATCTCAGATTCGGAGCGATGGCCGGCAGAGTGAGCAGATGGTACAGTACTTGGAGAGGCAACCGGTTGTCGCTCAGCATTGCGATCATCCCCGAGCAAGCAGTGACAAACTGTTGCAGGACAGCGACTCTTTGCAGCTTCAGTTCCAGGACTTTGCTGAGCTTCGGTCGTTGTTTAGAGTCACGGCGTTGGGTCGTTGGGCTTTGTTCGGCATGTTCTGTTTCCGCAGATTCGTCGAAGATCATACAGTTTGCTGTCACATTCACCATCACACTGTCCTTTCGTCTCGACGAAAAGCCTCTATCACTAGCAGCACTAGCATTCACTGGTTCACTAGTCATAGAGCAGCGAATCGCAACCATCGATTGTTAAACCCGAATCGTTGCGGAAGCTTGCTATGTAGGCCTTCGGTAGAAATGACTCCGCCCACCTCAATATTCACAGTCGTTTCGGTGCTGAGGAACCAGCTACTTTGCCCGCTCGTCGCCGAACGAGTCTGCTGGTAGTTGGAGGTGTGGATCCCTTCTTTGTCTGGCGCGCCAGTTGTCATGCTTCTTGCATTAGCTGCGTGGGAGCCTGAATCTAGCTAGGCAGATCCCAGTGCAAGAGACGCCAGGTCTCGGGATCGTTCTTCTCCACGGTGCCTCCACCTCGTGTGCCTTGGGTCAAAGATGGTCGGACGAAAACTCACGGACAAGATTACCTGCAAGCTAAACTGGGGCAAGATTGTCTAAATCAGCAGTGCTTTCTCCAGCATCATCAACCCAACATGCAAGACACAAGTCTGTGGCAACCCAGAAGAGAGGAGAGGTCTCCTGCCGTTCTTTGTGGGATGCCACAAGATGAGAGCGTCCTCTGAACTGAGGTTGGGGATGCGTTGATGGAGTCACACTGGGGCGCTCTGGTGGACTCTTTGACGTGGAAGCCCAACTCTTGCTGCCCCTGGCTTAGTTAGTTGAGCCCGCGTGTAGTCGGCTTGTTGCTGCCAGGCGCGGGCAGGCAATCAACAAATCTAGGCAAAGCTGCTGACCATGCTTACCATCGTGCAAGCGTGTTCTTGAGAAAGCGGCTGGTACGTTTGTAGGCACGACATACCTGGCTTGACGAGCAGGTCTTCAGAAGCGAATCATGTTATCCAAGGCTGGGTTCGTGCGGCCGCCACAACGGCAGCGGTATTCCATGTGTGATCCTTGACAGCGTCCGATTGAGCTAAATTGCCTTCACTCCCGGACTGTCGTGGCAGCTGCGGTTTCCTTTTCGAAGATCATGTGCATGTGAACGCGAGGAGCAGTGCTGAAGTGCAGAGGGGTGTGTTTGTGTCTCAGCCAGCACACTCCCACGTGATTGGTATACGAGTGTGTGTGTGTGTGTGTGTGTATGTATATATATATATATATACAGAGAGAGATACATGATGATACCTGGTTGTATCTACCTCTACTAGTAGTATAGATTGCAAGTATATGGTTACAGTAGCTCCCGAGGCTGGCAGCATGCTGCATGGCCGTCTTGTTGCTGGCGCAAACTGTAATTCTTGCTGCAGCCGGCAAGAGTGACCTGGCAGAAACGGGCCGGGTTTAGGGCACGAGCATGCATGGATGCTACTATGAGTTTGTTCTTCCCGTCGCTGTCATGGTTGCGACAAATACTGCAGTTGCTATTGCTGCTGCTGTACTGTTGCTGGTTTTTTATACTACGATTGTTCCTGTGCTTCCCGTTATCAGTTGTTATTATTTACTATGGTTACTACTGTTTGCTCATACTGCTGGTTCTGTTGTTCGTATGGAGACGCGAGTCAAGCGGACCTCAGACCCTGAGACAGTGATCTTCTTTGCAGGGGACGGCCTGCAAGATGACGACCAGAGCCTGGGGCGGCACAGCACGCACAAATAGCTGTGGACGTAAAAATGCGTACACGCACCTTTGCATGTACATACGTAACTATCTATGTATACCACATATTCATGTATTTATGTACTCCTATCTATGTGCCTATGTACGTAGGTATGCATGTATGTCTGCATTGTTTGTCTGTCTGTCTGTTTGTCCGTATGTATGTGTTTATGTATGCATGTAATTATGTAGCTAAAGTATGTAAGTATGAGTGCATGCATAAACAAATGTACGTGTGTATGTAAGTAAGTATGTATGTATGTGCGTATCTGTGTATACACGCGCTTAGTTGGACCGAAGCCTCGCCTGCTTTGTCGAGAGTGAGTGCTAAAAATATACACACGATCCTGCACACGTGCATACCTTTTTTCGGCCTGTATCTGTCACTTTATGGACAAACTTGGGGTATTCCGCAGGCTGTAGACTGTAGGGAGTTCACGAATTTTAAAGATTACTACAGGACTGTGGTTGGCCACAAACTCGCATAGTTGAGGGCTTCCTCCGACCAGTGTGAGCTCTCTGCAATAATTAGAAGCTTCGGTTTGCAAATAAATAATGCAAATGTTCGCAGCACTTAGATCGCTCTGGCCGCACTTTGATTAACGGTGCGGTGCTGTTGATCGGCTGCGCGAGCTAGGATGGCCATCACATTGATGGATTTCCGCGAGTACCAGGACAACCTGCTCTACGGTGTTCTCGCAGACCAGGAGGCCTTGTGGCAGACAGTCCCAGGGAGAGTCACAGGTTGACTTCATGAAATAGCACTGCAGGGTTTCAGCGCCACCATGCGGCAGGTCCGGAGCCATGTCTGGTTGCGTCCTGAAGGGGACGCCTGGGACTTTGCAGACTTCTTGGAGGCTGGAAAACAGCAGCGGTCAGCAGAAGATCGCAGGTACTGCTCTTCCAATCTTCACCGCCCGTTACTTGTTGATTCAATGTGCCAGGAGATCCGGTAATATTTGGCCTATCTGTCGAACCTACAGTAGCGGATTCTAAAGGCAAGCATCGCTGAAAAGCTCAATGAACGCAGAGTGCCCCTTTTGCGCAGTTCGTACATTCGGGGCAGTGCATGGATTGAGAGGAATCGACAGAAGCAAGTCGCAGCAGCTGGCGAAGGAGTCAGGGCGTGTCCTGGCAGAGAAAAGTTATGCTATGTTATGCTAACGGTTGCACATGAGGTGGCGTGGAGGGTCTGCCAATGCTTTCTTCGTTTTACTGGTCAGACCGCTAGTGTCGTAGATCTTGCTTATGATCGCATATGATTGCGTTTAGTCACCGCCGTAGTGTGCCAGCAGTCGCTTGTCCAGTAGTAGACGCAGTATTTGGTAACCATAGCAAGAGCACTTACGCATGGGACGACATAAGACCTTTTTGCCATGTACAGAAAGCCAATTTTCAATGGGAGCCTCCAGAAAAGGAAAGCTGCACTTGTTTTCAGGTCGTCGGGGGCATTCGAGCCTCAGCTGCAAGGTTTCTCAACAAGAAAACCAGCAAACTGCTGCGTGCTGCTTCTGTGTAGAAGAGCGTCTGTGTCCCCTCGCACACCGGTTCTTGCATGCAGACATGCATGCGTACATACGTGCAGCCAGGTCTACGCATGTGCACTCCCCCGCGTGCCCCCAATACAAGGTGTCCCCCTCCCAGTTTCGGGAACATTGCAGGAGGGGCAGGAACATAGGCGGTGACCATGCCATCCTCCAACCCCCAAGCATGGGGAAACCTAAGCTGCACGCCCACGGGATGGGCAGGGAGGTAGCCAAAGGGGGTTCTCTTTTTGTGGCCATTGTGTCTTGTGCTTTCGATTGGCATATATAGATTTTGCTTCTGTTCTGTTGGGGTGCGGGGGTACTGACGTCCATGTCGTGCGCTGCAGTGCAGCAGAGCATCCGTGCCCGAACGGTGACAACTTCCTGTTCCCACACAAGGTTCTTAGACGATAACCGATAACTGCGCCCATACGTGTTGCTTCTGTTCTGATGGAGTGTGACGTCCGTTGTCGTGCTTCCAGACTGGCAAAGTCCGGAAGACGTGCCCCCTTTTTCGCATAACGAGGAAGGTCCGGGCCCGGAGTTTCACAAACCTTGTTATCGTATGTTCACGCCTTTCTCTGGCAGGCTAACCTGGCGGAGGATGTGAACATGATGCATGGCATTGAGGGCTTTTTGCTGAAAAAAAGACAGAGAGGGAGATTACCATCCGGGGGGAGGGGGGGGAAGGGGCGGGGGGCCGCCGGGGACCATATATACAGACATTCTCTCTCTCTCTCTCTCTATATATATATGTATACATATATATATATATATATATACACATACATATTGTAGATCTCTCTCTCTCTCTGTGCTTGTTTGTGCTATTGGTGTCAACATGTGCCGTTGCTCTGTCCGTCGTTACCGGTTTGGTGCTCAACCTGGCCTCTCCAGCCAGGAGTGATCCGCGAGCCAAGCGAAGACGTCTGGAGGTCTGTACACTGCAAAGGCTTGCCGACGGATGAAGGCCCCGGCCTGATCCAGAACGGGAGGCGTTGCAGTCAAACATAGGGCCACACGTCAGTTCGCTGTTGCGCTCGCTGCGTGTGCTTTGCTATTCATGTGTTGCGTGATGGGCTTACGCGCGTGTGAGAGTCACCCTGATAAATCAAACTGTACGCCGATTGCAGCCACCACCACACCGGGAGACATGTTCGTTCAGAATGAGAAGAGTTCGTGTGACCACAGGCAGTGATTCAACAATGCCTGCTCTTGATGATGCAGAGCTATGCAGAGTTGAGGGTTCTAGGTCCGTCCACGGTCTACATCGAGTTCCAGCGACCCGGTCAGCCTGACGAAGCAGTTGCACCACTGCTTCGGCAAATTGTGCCCGTCCCTTGCCAGCAAGAGTGCACTGAATTGAAGATGTGCGTGATCGCGGCACCATTGAGGTGGATTTCCTTCCAGGCGAGCCACTTGTGAACGGGCGGCCCTCGATTGTATGCTGAGTGGGCGACAAGTGACTGGGGGAGAGAGTCTTGCGGATTTTGGCTCAAGAGATTTGGCTCAACGTCTGTCGGCTAGAACAGATTACTAGGGATGAGAATCTTTGGGATGTCGGGCATGAAGCTTCCACATGAATGTGGATTGGAATCGCCGAGTGGGTCGCCAGGGTCGACCACAGATTGTCCGGCGGACACCGGGAGCAGTGAAAGCGACTCTCCGGTTTGCAGCAATGACGGTTGCAACGAGAACCATTTCAGCCGCGCGGGCATACAATTGCCCATCAAACATACCCAGCCATGTCTCCCACCCGGATATCCAGCTCCTCCCGGCTTGGAGCTGGTGGGTGATGCTGCCCCAGCATTCCAGCAAGGAACAGGCATTGGCGGACAGCCGAACCGTGCATGGATGGTTTCAGGTGGTGCTGTTGTGCCACCATGTACGGATGTGCCGAAGGATGTTTTAGCTGGCTTCGCTAACAGGGGCTTGGCAGCGGAAGCGCATGGCTTTGGTGCCGCGCCTGGGCAGCAGATGCCAGTGCCAGTGGCATGTGGGACGAGCCATTGTGACGTGTCACTACAAAAGCGGATCAACAAGGAGCTGACGAAGGCCGCCAAGTCTGAGAACGAAGATGCTATCTCCGAGGTTCTTCGAATTGCCGCACTTCATCTTCACCAGCTGAACAGTGTGAACCTCTCAACTGCCGTCCACCGCCTCGCACGAGCATGCGAAGGCTCCAAAGCACAAGCAAATCGCGTGAAGACGGATCCGATATTCCTCCTCATGCTCGAGGTGGCCGAGCACAAGGCCCAGCTGGAGTTACTTGGCCAAGCGGACAGCATGCCTAGCAATTGCTGCACCATCGTCACCTGGTCTTGCGCTGTGCTGCGCTTCTTCCGGCCGAGCCTTTTCACAGTCCTGGCCCGGGTGGCTGCAAGAAATCTCCAGGATTGCCAGTGCTATGAAATCACGAACCTGTTGTGGAGCTTTGCGGAGCTGTGCAAACGGCAGCCGACGATGGCTGAAGACATGGCCGAAACCATTCAGGAGTTAGTGGAGGCAACCGCAAGCTCCTTCCTTCATCGCAGACCGAAGGCCTGGAAAATCCAAGTCCTGGTCTCGGCATTGGTGTCGCTGACGTGCATTCCATGCAAGGACTTCTGCGCCAAGTGGTTCATTATCAGTCTGGTGCAGGAGCTGGCAGAAAGAAGCGAAGAGGCCCAGGACACCAACCTTCAGCCTGTGGTGATGGCCTTCGACACCTTGCGTACTAGGCACTTGCAGGTCTTCCGTGACATTTGCAACGCCATGAGCAGGCGACATCCTGATTTTGTCACGCGATACATGTACGGCGGCGCGCGGCAAAACGGAAAGGCGAAGAAACACTCGAAGCGGCCGAAGGCCCAAGGTTGAGTGTGTTTTGCCGTGTGCCGTGCTTCGACATTTAACAACCGGCCCCGGCCGTGGCTTCAGGAGAATAGCTGCGAATAGCTGCTGATAGCTGCTAGTAGGCTAGGCTAGACCTTGTATGACGTTGAGAACATTGGCAGATTCTGTCTTGGGCCCGTGCCGTTGCCTTGGCCCTCTCTCTCCGCTGCACAAGAAAAAGGGCAGTGGGATGCGAGGCTCCCCCTACGTGTTTCACCGAGTAATTCATGCGGAGACATAGACATCCACACAGCCATAGTACATGCTGCTGCAAGCCCAGCCGGCAAGCAGCAAGCTCAAATGCGGTTCCTGTTGAGACATGCGCAGAGCGGGGGAGCAGAGCTTCTCGCGATGTGCTTGTTGACAGTTGACTGCTGGCGCCCTCAAGAGTATATGTTCTTCCATCTTCATCAAGTCTGTCGTTTGCAGACACGACGAGTTCCAAACTTTGAGGTCTCGGAACTCGAGGACGCTGGGGTCTGCAGGTGTTTAAAATTCACATCACTCCACCGGATGTCTCTTGTACGGTCTGAGACGGTCTAAATCGAAATTCGCACACGAAATCAACTGACCGCCCGGCACAGAACGGGGGTGGCCAAGATTTTCTGGGCTGTGGCATACAGCGCACCATAAACTTCAAAGTAGAGACCTGGAGGTTTCCGTTTGTGACTTCTACTTTGTATCCAGTTCCGCATGCTCACAGCCCAACGTCGTCTTTTTCACAGCTCTGGAGAGAGGAGTAGTAGGCTGCATTATGCTACGGAAGCAAAAAGAGCCTATGCCCCGGAGGACAGAACAGAGTCTTGCGGAGCTGGACTTCTAGACCATGCCACTAATTTGAGCAGGCGCCTTCGTGTGTTCCCTCAGCGTGGGCAGCAGCTTGGATGAATTGGCCCAAGCTCTGCGAAAGATGCTGACAGTGACTAATCCTGCCGCACCGTGCTCGGATTCGTAAATTGACAGCGCGTGGCGAAGGAAGACAAGCCTGGAACAATTTGTCCCTGACCTTGCAGCTCGGTCGCACTGCAAAATCCACGGTAACATGCATTCTGTCATAGTTCCAATCCAGTCCGAAGCTTTGTGGAGCGGAGGTCTGGAGCAGCAATGGCCCTGATCCTTTTCGACCTGGGTCCCCGGTTGTGAAACTGCTGTCGGATTTTCACTTCAGGCTGCAAATTCGGAAGGCGCTCTTTCAGCCCTCAAGACCAGTGGCAGGTTTCCACTTGGAGTACTCTCTGCAAGGCTCCGGCCCCAGTCCTTTCTTCGGCCTCTTTCCGTCTGCTCCCGCACAGCCTTGGCCATGAATGAAGTACGTATTGCGTGTATTGAGTGTATTGTATTGCGTTGATTGACTAACGTTGTATTTTATGGTATTGCATTGAATGACTTGTTATAATATATTATATCTTATACTATGCTAGGGCGTTTTGTGATATATGTTGAATACTATACGTTTATTTAATTGTGTTCATACTTGTACATGTATTATTCTTCGCCTTCTATCTGCTTATTTTGCATACATAAATGTACATACTACCGCAGCCTGGCCATGGTTGCTTCAGGCACCCTCCTCAAGGACTGCGAAGATGTCCTCAGCCTCTCGAAAGAAATTCAGCTCTCTTGTTGCCCACTGGTTGCTCCAGGGCCTGTTGCAAATACAGGTGTTAGAGTGCCGCGGGCCACCTTAGCGGACGATGCGGCCGTTTGGTGCCGGCACCGGACACATTAGTTGGGCTGGCCATGTCATTGTTTCGATGTTAGCAGCAGTGGAAACATTAAATGGCCTTGGATGCCGTCCTCGTCAGCTCTCCAACTGAGATGCAGTGCCCTGCAACCCCTGTCATGCCTGCGACCTGTGGGCCCGGCTCTTCATATAGTGGTTATACCATCGAACAACTTGTTGAGACGGCCTATCGGACGTCATGTGCTCCGGGAGCAGGGCGCAACTAGAGTCGGAAGCCGGGACAATGGGACTGCCAGCTCCCCTTGGCTACCACCCAGGCGGCCGCTGTCTGGAGCTCGAGCCGCGAGACCGCATCAACGTCCGGTCGGCCTTTGGGGCTCTTTGGCTGACTTTGGCATTGCGACGAGCGTGTTGGCAGATGGCCTAGATCTCTTTGAAGTGTTTGGAGTGGCGACCGAGTCCGAGGTCTATCTCGCCATGCTCGGTGCTGTCTGCGATGCTGTCATAATTTGTATCCTTTTATCCCTGAAGTAGAGGCCGAAGTTTTCAAGACGACATGCGCCTCTGGAAATGTCTCCCGCTGCCTACATGGAGCAAGCTCTTGAAGGGAGCTGCGGGTCTCCGAGATGAGAGTGTGGTAAGAGCTTGGGAGCCTTCAAACATGCAAAGGCTAGGCCATGCCATGCAAGTCTTGGCACTTGACACTTTACATTCTATGGGCTGCGTCTTAACAAACTCCTTGGCCTGGTTCAGGTTGGCTCAAGGAAAAGGCATGTGATAAGTGAAGCCAGCCCTGGCAGATGTATGACTCTCCCCCAAGTATATATTGCTGCAGCTTAACATGGTGTACGTGACCAACTGCATCTGCGCACCATAAGATGCCACGTATCCTCAAGCCCAAAATTGTCGTCCGCCTCCGCATGAACCGAGCGGCGAAACCACGAATGCAAGCTTAGGGCTTTAACATCCAGAAGCCTTCGTAGGGGCAACCTACGTCGAGCCAACTGCCATGACTGCCTCGCAAGGAGTCTCCCAGGACCTTCCCGACGCCTTGGAGAGATGTGCACTGTTCCCGCATCTTCCTGCAGGAAGCGGCGATCGCTGTGCTGGCCATCCTGGGAGCCAGGCCAGACTGAGAGCCGGCTGTGTTCCGTGGGACTTAGGAAAGCCTCGGCCTGCGGCTCAGGGATCACTACGCGGCCATCGATGCGCCGCGCGATGCTTCCGTGGCCGAGCTGCGGCGCTGCTATCTCAAGGTCGGGTTCCTATCACAGCATCCGAGTGTCGGAAGTCGGAAGAGTGTCGAGAAGACGAGCATCGGGAATGTCAGAGGCTTCGAGCCTCGTCACGCAAAGCTCAGGCCTCCATCCTGGTCCACCCAGACAAAAACTGCCACCCGGACTCCACCCGCGCTTTCCAGCGAGTGGCGGCAGCATGGGCCACCCTCTCCGACGAGGAGCCAAGCACCACTTGCTTCCACATGGGCGTTCTCAACACCGGGTGCAAAAGGTTGTTGCGCTGTCGTTCGATCTGGCAGGACAAGCGCCGCGCGTACGATCGCGAGCTCCTGGAAGGTGACCAGAGAGTCTCAGCAGCAACAGCCAGCTTTCATAAGTCTCTTATATAATGTCTTTGTCGCAAGGTAGCAGCACCAGCCTGAGCCAAGTAATTGAAAAAGACTTTCTTCATGACAGACAGTAGTTTTGGCACAACTGCCTGATTGCAGGCGATGACATCCACATGACGCCAGAAGAAGCATTTGCAGCTTTTGCCTTTGCTGCAGCTTGTGCAGCCGGTGGCACAGGGGGTGCTGGAGCTGCGTTTGGGGATATGGCCGAGACACTGTTTTGGGCACAGCAGCTTGGTCAGATGAATAACTGTGGGCAGGGTCTGGCTATGCCAGTGCCCGGTTTCGGCTTCCCTTCATCCCCGTATGCTTCATATGCTGCACCAGCAGCTGGGTCTGTGGCTGCAAGCTTTGGTGGCATCGCTCTCTCCGTTGGCCTTTGGTCTGCGGGTCTGGCCATCAGCATTGTTGGTCTGCCGCGCATCGGTGGCTTCGCTAGGCCGATGGTGCCATCTTGTGTCCTGCGCATGAGCAAAACCCTGGCACGAGATAGCACGAGCCGCAAGAAGACCGGTGCGGGCACGCTAGGAAACTTTTGCCGCACCTCAGCTTCACACCCGCTTGGCACCGACCTGCGGCGAGGCGCTTGGCGCTGCTGCAAGGCGTCAGCCAGGTGGTCATTGCCTCGCAGGCTAGGACGGCTAGGAGTTCCGGTTCACGGCTGCTCTTTTTGTTTCATGCAGCTAATGCAAACAGGAAATTGTAAGAGGCAAGCGGCTCAAAGTGAGACTCCGCTCCTTGGCAGAGGAGTGAAAGGAAACAGGATCGAGCTCCTTGGTAGGACCATGAGGGGCTGAATGTTAGAGCACGGATTGTAGGGCCACCAGCAACATGACTAGAGGCGTCTGTGTTCCAGCAAGTCGCAGCGTACAGGATCTAGAGGGAGTCAGCAGTCAGCTCTACTTCTCCTGTCGGTTGAAAGGACAAGCTTTGGGACGTACAAAAAGTAACATACGCTACCTTCAGCTCCAAAACTCTGCCTTCGCCGAAGACGTGCTGCGAGGTGCCCGCTGTCCGCAGTGCTGCATGCGCAGCTGCATCGCTGGGAGCGGCCAGGGTGCAGCAAGCAGCAGGACCCCCGTCGTACAGATGCTGTCAGTCTGGAAGCTTTTGGCTGCGGCGATATCAGCGCATGTTTGGCCGAGAAATGGTGCGAGGAGATTTTGCGGACCAACATCCGCAAATTAGCAACATCGCCAGCAAGGCAGATTAATCCACTCAGACTGAAGAGAAGAGGTTAGTCATGTTTCTGCTAGAACGGAGTCGAATCCGTTTTGGTGCCCTTGTTCAGGTCAAGGCTCGCAGCTTCGAGGCTGCAGACTCCCTGCGCCACATGGTGGACAACCACATCAGCATAGACCGGGGGATCTGAAACCATGAGTCACGAAGTGCAGTTTGCAAGAAGATCTGCATCATGCGGCCGACCAAAGGGAGCCACCGACACCCTTAGTAGAAGGTCGCTCGCCCCAAGATTTCCGAGAGGACATGGCTGGTGCAGCTGAGAGGGTGAAGGAGCGCGGCGGTGCGGCGGTGAAACAGGCAGCACGCAGCCTCGAGTTTGACGACGTAGCAACAGATGATGGTAGGAGTCAGAAGCTTTCCAGCTTAGTGCTGCCGGAAGCAAGAACTTCACATGTCCAACGTATTGTCGCCCGCCCACCAGCCCAGTGCATCACGGGTTCGTTGCAGGTTCGTCGGCTCGTCGATCACAGCTGCAGCGCTTCTGACCTCTGGGCGGGGCAATCCTGCTTGGGATGGAATGCCCAGGTGCCATGACTGGACTCGTGCATGCTGACACGCATCATCTTTGCTGTCATGTGTATTGTATATAAGACCCTAAGCAGCTGGGCGCACAGTCTACGTGGTCTCGTCCAGAGGTGAATCTCGTTGGAGCATGTGGAAGCAAGGCTTTCTGGGAGTCCCATCGAGGGGTGCCGGTCATGGACGCCACATTGCACATGTTTCCTGGAGTTCCTCTGTCGTATTCCACACTTGGCGTCGCTCGAGAAGACATTTGCCGTCGGTTCACTCTGAGTTTCTTGGTCGAGCGCGTTTGCAGTCTCCGCTCCGTCTATGACAGACCCAATGCCTTACAAGGGTGGGGCTCGTCGAGAATCAGCCAAACAGCGGCGGAAAGACATATCATCCCGAGGTGGCATGAGGTGGCTAGGTCTTCTGCGCACTGTTTTCAAAGTCCTAAGCCGCAAGCAGCTCCTCGTAGCATGTTGCCTGTCACGGCATGGCCGTGGCCAGCATGACTGAGACAATAAGGAGAGCGACAGCGAGGAAGAGGACACATGGTACGTCCAGAACATGAGGCTCAGCCGAGTCTCAACCCGCCCCCGCGCTGCATTCCTTTGCAAGTTTGCTGCCGCCTTGAGCCCCGCCTGGAGTATCAAGCCTTATAGGCTTATCTGCAAACGTCACGCTCCTTGCATCCATGTGGACAGGCTTCGGAGACAGCGCGCCTGGAAGCCTCGGGCAGGGACCTGGGTGAAGCTGTCCAATCTGCAGACGCTGGGCTGCAAGTTCGAGTGAGGCAGGAACAACCTGAAAAAGGATCGGAGATGTCACCTGGCCGGCACTCGCAGATTAAGATGAATTGTCTCTCTGTTTCCCTAGGAGAGCCCGACACCTGGAAGGCTCCCTGGGGGAGGTTCTGGCTTTTGACCGCCGCTTGGCTTCGCGCTGACGAGCAGCAGATCCTCTTTAGAGCCGTGGGCGGGAGGGAACGCGATGCGTGTGGCGCTGCCTTCTGATTACAAGGTGACAGCGGCCGTTACCTGGTGCAGCTTTTCGCTCCCCAGAATGCACCCATCTTCCATGGCGGCTGTCCAGAGCTACTCGGGCTTTGAAGTCACTGCGCAAGTCGCCAGAAGAGTTGTTGCGAATTCCTGCTCGCAGTTCCCCGCGTTCGCGTGCAAGAGGGCCAGCTGCCTCGGCAGCCTCGGCACTGCGTACAGTGTGCAGCTTTGCACATGTTTGGAGCAGGCCACCAATTGTCTCCAAACTGGTGCTGTTGCAGATGCTCGGCTTTCGGGTTTGTGCACGCCACAGGTTGCAGGAAGAGTAGTTTCGGATGATGTTGCGGGAGACGTCTCTAACCTGAGGATCTATAGACAGAGCCACGCACATCCATGTTTCCTAAAGGTAGGCAAGCCTGCTGTTACACCGTCTGTAGATCGTGTTCAAGCTCACAGAAGTAATCAGCAAGGGGCGGGAGGTGATGTGGTTTTACCGCGGGCCAAGGAACCTGCGCCCTGCTTTCGACCGATCCTCCAAGCCGCCGGGCAGCGAAGCTCACTTCATCTGATCTGCGGGAAATTGAGCTCAGGGCTACCCGACATCCTAGCAGCCTAGCGGTGACCGGACGTACTTCCCTCAAAGCATTGTCGGACATCCTAGCAGGAGCTGTTCTCAGTCTGAGAGAATTTGGGAACACTGTCTGCAGCCATCAGACTCAGAAATGTGTGCCATTCAGCGCCGGCAGCGACAAATTAGTCATTCCAGCGGGTTGGACGCCGGGGAAACCCAAACTCGCATGCGGAAAAATGACGTAGTTTAAGTGCTGTGATGTATCTATCTGTGGTCAATGTCGAAGTGCTCCCGACCACTCCAGTTCTGACAAGCTTCACATCGTATACTATACCGTGTGCCCATGGGCTCGGAGTCTGACTCTGCAGCTGAGAGCCAGCTGCCGGCGGTGAGGCGACTGTTGGAGATTGGGGAAGTCCTTTTCATTCTCTTTCTGCGAGATCTTGGCAGGGGCCCACGCGCTTCACGCGAGGCCCTGTTGGCAGACAGCGATGAGTCCCCCAAGGCGCTGCCAGCGATGCCTTCCTTCGAATCAGGGAGCGTCGGGTCGGACTTTGCTTGCAAGGCCAATCCACGAAACGCCTCGGCATTGCTGCGCGCAGTGGAGAAGCCCGGAGCAGAAGGCGCTGTGCGGAGCAGTGTCCAGCCCTCGTTTCCTGCCTTTGCCCAGACCATCGCTCGAGCATCGGGACGGCGAAGAATGGCATGCTCGAGGTCACTTGATGTCGGGAGAGCGGATGCATGGTTCGTCAGCGACCTTTACCCCTCCAGTTCTGCATCAAACACCAGCACCATAACAGAAGAAACGCTGCGCAGCTCGAGGGAGTTAAGAGAGAGAGCGACCTCCGAAACACCCCAAAGACCCTTCGGCTCATGGGCGGTCGGACCCTCCAAGAAGACCCCGAAAGCTCCTCGTCATCACTCGCAGGCTTCAGAACCGGGAGCACTGAAGTGACCCCGACCCTGGGGCCCTGGGGCCTGTCCGTGTGTTCACCAGTTCGTCAGGCTCGGATGTGTCCGTGCTGGATGCCGGCCAAACCTTTCTCCAATCCCACAAGCAAGTGACGACGACAAAAGACTATGCAATCCATAGCTGTCGCCAGTAGGGCGTCAATACATGGTGCTGCATCGCCAAGCCACCTCCCATGGCGGGGAACGCGGGTACCCTTCCCCCCCCTTTGGTTTGTTTTTTGGGGTCTGTCGGTTCGAGTTTGGGTGAGGGACATGAAAGCCCTGAGGCAGGTTTGCTCTTCGTCGGCTTGCCCCTCTCGAAATGTTCAACAGTTTCGAGAATCCAAACGCTACGTGTACCGTATAACGGCAACAGTTTTGAGATGTTATGAGGAATAGTAATTATGAGCAATTGAACCTGTGGGCGTTCTTGAGATGTTGCCTTGATGCCAAGATCCGCCACGCTTTCATGCAGATTGCGCGCTCGCCTCCAAACCCCATGGGAGGGGCGAGGGGGGAGGGGGGCAGACAGAGACCGGCTCCTTCTTCTAAGTTGAACCATGAGGTGCAGCCCCAAAAGGCACCTGCTAGGGACAGTGTTTTCCTCCTCGCGGAAGGTCGATCCGCCTGGCTGGGGGTCCGTGCGGTCACGGCGGACAGGCTCGGATCTTCAACTCGCCGGCCAGGACAAGGTGGCGTGCCTCGCTCAAAGCTTGGCCGTGAACAGAGCTAAGCAGTGCTTTCCTGATGCTTTCGTGCGCCAGATCTCTGCATGCCGATAACACTATCGGACATTCTTTGCAACTTTGAGCCGCTTGAGGTCGGAGCTGCGTGCACAGAGGTGCCGGCGAGGGTCGCACTTTGGAGATGAAGGTATGGTACAGCAGGTCTCTGTCCCCAGCAAAGCTCTGCACGGAGGCTTGACATCGAGCAGCTCCAGCGGCACAGCTTGGCTCTGCAGGAAGAGATGGACCAGCAGAAGCAAGTCGTGAAGTGGCTGATGCTGCTCGACCTGCTGTGTGTACCCATCGCAGATTCGGATCCACGAACGCAGCAGTGTGTCTCAATTCGAAACCAGATTGCAAACCTTGGCGTGCAGCCCGCCACCATGCGGCCACAGGCTTTCCAACGATCAGCTCCTAGCAGTGGTCGAGGAGCAGCGCGCTCTCATCGAGCAGCTACGCTGGGAGACCCGGCCTAGCGGGCCCAGGACAGCACGCCTTTTGAGTGATTGAACATCCGTGTCCTTGCCACCCAATTTCTGGCGAGGATGGCGCCGGCTTCGCTTGGCGACATCAGTGAGTCTCAGGACGCACTGAAGGCAGCTCATCCGCCGACAAGATATTACATGAAAGGGTGAGTTATTGCGCTTAATCATAACAAAGCCAGGAGTTTTATCTGCAGGATCTGCCGCAAGATCCCAATTGCCAATTATCAACAAGTTATCAACACTATGCGCTCTGCTTCAGCCGCGTGGCTGTGCAGGACTGTTCGAAGACGTGGGCCTCCACCTTGCAGCAAAGAGAGGATGCTACTTGACAGGGAACGTTGGCTCCAGGTTGCATTTTCATCGCAGGTAGCCAGTGCGAGTAATGATATGCAGGCGTCGCAGTTGTAGCTGACGGATGAGAAGCCGGGCGGGAAGAGAAAAGAAATTACTCAGGCATTGCAGCCCGTGGCCTCTGCGGCCAGCCAAGGGCAGCAGGCTTCCTCGCCTGAAGGTGCCCAAGGTAGTGCTGCATTTTGCCTTCTTCAGCTCCTGTTCATGCTACGTGCTACCCTGCAAGGTGGGGCCTTGCCGGAGGAGCTACCCACAAACACGCTGAGGACAGGAGTCCGAAGTGGCTTGGCAAGCAAATGCAAGAGAGCTTCTTGAGTCAGTGGTGCAAAAGCTCCTAGGGCCCTAGGCCTTTTGCGCTTCTTGTGCGAATGTGGTCTGGAACAGCCATGCCCAAGGCGAGATGGAGCCAGCCACCCGACCGAAAGCTGATGCCAAACGCCTCACAGATCTGGGGCGCATGCCGGCGTATCATGGCCCAACTGGGCTTCGGGCTTTTGTGCCGATGGTAAAAGAGGTTCGTTAGAAGGACTCCTTTATTTCTCGGCTAGTGTGCAGTGGGCCGTTCATTCAGGAGTATCTCCCTTTCGAGGAAAACTTGGCATGACGATCTCTGTTGGTTGCTTCATGCGGTCCCATTTTTCAGTGTTCGTTGAAGCACCAAATCACTTGGTGGCATGATGCACCGAATTTTTGTCCCAGGAACAGCACTGGCTACGTCTCTTCAGACGATGAGGCCTACGAGATCCAAGTCGCTGGGAACAAGACCGCCTTGGTGCAGCCTTTTGCGCCTGCTTTGTGGGCATGTGCCCTGGGCCCGTGGTTGAGCTGCATCACACAGCCGGCCTTCAGCATGGTTCTGAACATGAAATGTCGACAAAGCATGTGGGTGTCAGTGACAAGTTGAAACCAGCCTCCAGTACTGGTGGGTGATTGTTGAAACTCTAGAACTCAGCCCACCAGCCCACAGAGCCTGATCCTAGCCATGCGAGAAGGGGAATCTCAGTTTCTTGTGATCCAAATTCCAATGGCCCGAAAAATCCCACAACGGGTTTCCAGACAGGGCCACAATGTCCCACAAGTCGTCCTCACCTCTGCGCAGAACCAAGAGCCCTAGGCCTTAGTCACCCGGGCCAAAGATCTGCCCGGGTTTAGGGGAGCCGTCCGATGGCTCCGAAACAGCCGCCGAGACCTCCGGACCAGGAAGAGGTCGTGTTGAGGAGGGCTTCTTCGGATGTCGAGATGTTTCAAGCTCGGTAGAGATGCAGGAGGCCAGCAAGCTTTCGACCTGCCCGGTTGCCGTAGTCCCTTCATGTAGTCAAAGATACCTTTGTCTCATTGTCCGGCCGGTTAGTGGGGGACGCGCTCGAGAGATACAGGCATATGCTTGAGTGTGAAATTTGTTGACGACCTTGGCTTTCTGGGTCCTGGACACATTCCTGGACGGTCCGATGGCAAAGTTGCCCTTGATGGGAAAAGGCATTCAAACCTTGTGATGCTAGCCCCTTCTCAGCAGATCTTATCTGGATGTATGAGGTGGCATTGCTGAGGAGACCCGTGTAAAGCGTACCGAAGCTGCCACCTGCTGGCAGCTGGCAGACAGCATATCTTGCCTTGCTGTGGCAATTGCGTATCCCAGCTCGGAGGTGTCTTGGAAAGTGGTCATCCTGGTGTACGCGATCGTCTCCATCTGCTGTCTCTATGTCGGTGGCCTTTACTATGGCACCAAGGAGCCTCTGAGCTTGTGCTTCTAGTCGACGTGTCTGCTTCCGAGCCAGCTGGCAAGTCCGAATGTCCATATGGGGTCCGACAGGCCTTGGCCGTCCGGTCTGAAGAGGAGCTTCTGCAGGCCTTCTCATGCCCACTGCATGCTTCTAGTAGCAGAAAACATGGGGCGAGATGTGAATGGTTGGTGTGAGAGGCCAGCGTCCTGCATCCCCTCTTCAACACTGAGGAGAGGTTTCCACGGAGTATTGTGCGGACAGGGAAAGTTGTTTATCTAACGTTCCTAACGTTTGGCTTTCACGTCTGGTGTTGTCAGGTAGCAGAAATGCCGGGACAGTAAGAAGCACAGTTTGCACCGTGGAATTAAGACACCAAGAGGCACAGTGGAACCTGCTTTGATTCCCTGCTGTTGGTGCGGCTCGAAGAGCAAGAACTTTTCAGGATGGCATGTGGAGGGTTGGGGTTTACAGATCTTGACAGAATTTGAGAAAATGTACTGTCTTTTTTTATCACTCTTTGCCACCCCAAAAGATTGTAAGGAAGAAGTTCATTTTAAGCAAGATGTGAGGAAGCACGAGGGGCCGTGAAGGGGAAGGGTTAGCGTAGAGAGTACGGGCTGAACTTGGCTGGTCTACGCCAGTCTAAGCATGCAAGGAGCACTTTGCGCCGGAGTACTGGCAGGCTTCTATGCAGCAGCTTGGCAAGCACTTGCAATGTTGATTCCCTGACATGCGGCCAAGCCATGCCAAAGGTTCTGCATCACTGAACAGGAGAGGAAAGAAGCGAACCTTGTGCACTGGCGGTACTTCTTGAGCCCTAAGCTGAGCACACTGCATGCAGCAGTGAGGCAGAAGGATCGCCTGGAGGCACTGACAACTGCAACACACGCGACCGCCCAAGCTCTGCAGAGTGTCGGCATGCCCGCCTTCCTGGAGTCTGCTGGACTGCCGCTCTTCTGCATCCAGTAAGGCTTTCAACCAGACGAAGATGGGAAAAGGAAGGTCGGCGCCACTAGATCATTCCCCTTAAGATGCAAATTCGGGAGTTGCTTGATCAGCGGGGGAACTAGAATAAGGCTGTACAGAGGAGGCGGGGAAGGAAGCAGTCGGTACAAGGCGCCAGGACACAGGCACTCGAGCCAAACGAAGAAAACTTCAATTCAAGAATGAACCTTCGGATGATATGCTGTCGAGAAAATCTCGTAGCCATGCGTCCCCTGTCGAACTTTGAGGATCGGCTGGCTGCGACACAATCGGTCACAGCTGCCTTGGGACTCCGATGGTGACCTTGGAATCCTCGAAGCCGCTTCTCGGCTGCCTTCGACCATGGTGGTCCTAACAGCTTGCTAAGATCCTATTCCATAATCTCTAGCTGACGTACCTGCATGCAATCGAGAGATGCAGCGGCGGTTCCCATCCTCGGACATGAGTTTTGACAATCAGAGAGACCACGGCCTTCACGACCAGAAGCCTCATCTTTTTCGCCCAGCTGTGATGGTCGAAACCCGAACTGGCACCAAACCTTGCAGTAGGGTCTTAGTCCTCCAGCCTTCGCGACGCATCATCCCCGGTCCCGGCTAGGACTGCATCCAAGCTGGTGCCAGCAAGGCCGGGTTTCTCTTGTTCTCACAAGAAGCAGTTTAGAATTACGCGTCTTTGGTGATGTTCTGATATCCCGATCGTGGAGAGTTAAAGTTGAGATGGCCCGTGTCTGCCTGGTGGTTTAGACTATTAGAATACAGGGGATGATTCTAAGGACAAACATCCACATGAACATCTCCCTAAACATCCCCCCCTGAGATTGG